GCATTGTATACTTCCCATTTCCAGTACTCAAGTCCGGCTATATAAAAATAACCGGTTTCCCTGCATCCCTTCACTAAATATTACCCTGCTCACACTCCAACAGCTCGTCAGAATACAATTTAAAAAACACTAAACTTACCGCCCTATTTTCCAGATCAATCTTATTTCCAAGAACAACAAATGGGAAATGATCAGGATCACGTGGTGAAGCTTGAATTAGAAATTCATCTCGCCAAGAGTCTAAAGATTTAAAGGAATTAGGAGATGTGACATCATAACACAAAACACAGCAGTCAGCTCCACGATAGAATGCGACGCCCAGTGACTGGAATCTTTCTTGACCGGCTGTATCCCAAATCTGAAATTTAAATAATTTTAGCGGTAGAACATTCATCTTGTGATATTCACAAGAACTAAATTGGAAGGTTTGCCAAATACAAATGGGTACAGAAACTAAATGGTAAAACTGCCATGAACTGGCAACAAATGATTTGTAGTAGTGTTTTCATCCATTCAGTTATGGCTTTTATATTTATAAGTTGCAGACAAGCCAATCAAATGACCAGGGTATCACCCCTGATTTATCACTTCTCATAGGTAGTCCATAGTTAAATTATACAACTGAAATTAATTATTAAAAGTGCACAACACCATCAGTTTTAATACAGCAGCTCCTCACTTAGCGATGAACTCTTTTACTGACCACTCTGACTTACGACAAGCTCTCCAACCAGTATGCAAACCTAAATAATGTATTTAAGAGCTGATTTCCTCTACTCTGCTTATTACAGTATACAGTAAACTACTGTATAAACCATTAAAAATATACCATAAATGTTACAAATGGTGCAAGGTGACATTATAAAAATATCTGAAGATGATTGACACAAACCCACTACCAGTATAGTACAGTGGACCCCTGGATTACGAAATCAATCCATTCCAGAGAGTGACTTATCCCTACTGACTTATTCCAAATTAATTTTCCACGCAAGAAATAATGGAAATCCAATTAATCCGTTTCAGACACCCAAAAGGATTAAAAAAATGTTTTCTAAATGAAATATACATTTACCTACACAGAAAACAATGATACATGAAGAATAAAACAATAATAACATCACACTTACCTTTACTGAAGACAAGGTGATGTATGGAAGATGGGAGGGGAGAGTATGGAGGAGTTTACAATTGTTTGGAAGGGGAATCCCCTTCCATAGATGACTTCAGGTACCAAGTCCTTATCCTGGGTTACTTCCCTCCTTTGTTTTTAAATGCCACTAGGACCAGCTTGAGTCACTGGGCCCCCTGTCGCTCAAAAAAAGTGTTCCAGAGAGGTCAGTTTCTGGCGTATGTTAGGAATTGTGTTGGGAGACGGCTTATTTACCTAGCACAATTCAACTAATATGACATAATAAACATTAATAACAGAAACATGATATATACTCTAGAATGAGTAAAATATGGCATTAAATATGTCACAAGTGGTGGTGGTGTTTGTTTTTGGGTGTATAAGGGCCACTGAAAGATAAACCTTACATAGTGGTGGTGAAGGCGGCAGCAGAGGCCACGGTGTTAGTTAGTAGCCCTACATACCTCCAACAACAATGGAGGAGTCTGTTTCATGCTGTCCTTTTTCTATCTATTAATTGCTTAACTTACTTGCTACAGTTAATGCTACACTTTATCACTGGCTGGTGCTATAGCCTTTATAGACTCCTGCTGCTTTAGTATCGTACATATTGCAGAATCACTGAAAAGGGGCACATTCTCCCCTCTCTCTCAGCCCTTTACCAAAGGGCTGGCTGGCATTAGAAGCTTTTTTAGGGCCCAGGGTGGCTTATTTAGCAGTTACAAGCACTAAAAAGAATGGAATAATACAAAATGTATCGTACGAATGACTTGTACCAAGTTCAGCCACATCCAACCCCCAAATTTTTTTGATGCAAAAAGTTTCTTTTTTTCCAAAAATAAAAAAAAAGGGAAACAATACCATGACTGGAACGATACACAAAAAAACCCCGCACAAAAAAGGGAAAAAGCTTACACGACGTTTGGGTTCCGATTTGGGACCATTTACAAAGTCACACGTGACTTTGTCAAGGGCCCAAGTCGACCGAAACGTCCCCGTAAGTTTCCCTCCCCTTTTAAATTGTGCGGGTTTTTTTGTTTTATTACAGTGGCCCCCCCCGCATAACGAGGGGCATCGCATGCTTTTTTTTCCCGCATAACAAATTATTTTAAAAATTCGCAAAATTTTTGCCCCCGCATACCGTTTTAAAAACCCGCAAACCCCGATTTTCGTCCGAAAACGCTTTCCAAGGGTCCCTCACATGTCCCGGGCCGTCCCATTGTTTACCAGCCACCTCCGCTTTAACACCAAAGGGCATCACCCCGGAATTTTTTCGTATTTTTTACAGTGTTTTGTGGGGGTTTTCGGGAAAATAAGTGACCATGGGCCCCAAAAAGCTTCTAGGGCCAAACCCCCTGTGGAAAAAAAGGGTGAGAATTAGTATAAAAATTAAAAAGATTTTAAGGGGTTTTGGGGGGCTAACCCGAAAGCCTATGCCAGTTTTTGGAATCCATTGTGCCTACCCTTTAAAATTAAGGAAATGTTGAGAGTGGTTTTAAAAATGCAAACCTTTTTTAGATGAAAATCACCCTGACACAGCTGTTTGCAACCGTGCTTTTGACTAATTTTTAATGACAAAGTTTTGGCCCATTTTAGGGAAAAATTTTTAAGAAAAGGGAGGTACAGAGCCTATGGACAGATTTTTTGTCGACAGAGGTCCCCGTGACTCTAAGCTTGGGCCAGTGGGGATTAAAAGAAGAAGGGAAGTAAACCCCCGAAAAGGACTGTACCTCAAGTCCCAAAAAGGAAGGGGAAATTCCCCCTTTTAAAAAAGTAAAAAGAAAAAAGCCCCCCCCTCCCCCTCCCCCATCCCAAACAATCATCACCCGATCTTCCCAAAAAAATTTAATGTCATGTAATTGTGGGATGCCCTTTTTTAGTTTGTTTTGTATTTAAAAAAAAACATTTCAGTGGGAAAAAAAATTTTTTTTTTATACTTTTGGGCGTCTTTGCACGGGTTAATTTTATTTTCCCTTATTTCTTTTGGGGGAAAATTTTAAATTTGCATAACGATTATTTTTGCATAACGATGAGCCCTCTTTCAGGAATTTTAAAAAACGTTAACCCCGGGGGCCCCCTGTACTTTTTCCGATGCGTCCTTTAACGGGGGTCCACGGTATGCCCTTGCTAACAACCAATTCCCCTTACCGACCACCCCTTTGGAAAAGAACCCTGCCTTTTGTGAAGAGAGGCTGAAAAACCCCATAAAACACCCTTTAAAACCACTAAAAAAAACCCTTTTAAAAGGGCCAAACCCAAAAAGGGGTTTTAAAAATTTATAGTGGGTACCAAAAAATAAAATCTTTTTTTTTACATTTTTTTAAATTAACAAAAAAAAAAAATGTAAATAAAAGTTTTTTTTACACCCTTTTCAAATGTAAAACAAAAAAAAAAATACATTTTTTTTACATTTCTTTCAGAAAAGTTTTAAAAAACGAAAATAACGTTTGGACCATTTTAAGGGTTTTAAAAAACATTTTAAGAAAATTTTTTACATTTTACTTTAATTTTCCCACCAGAACATCCTCCAAATAAAGTTTGGGAAAAAAACCCTTTTTGTAAAAAATTTTAGGGGCATTTGTTAAAAGGAAATATTTTTTACCCAGGGGTGGGTTCCCTTTTGTCCAATACAGAGATAAAATTTAAAAAAATGAAGGGACAGTGTATATATAGTGGCAGGATCAGGTGAAGTGGGCCGTGACTGCTTAAAACCCCTTTGAGGGTTTTTTCGAACAGTACGTCTTAAAGCGTAGGGTTTTTTACGTACAAATAAAGCATAAATTCTAGCGGCCCCCCAAACTAGTGGGGGAAAAAACTGGGAGGGCCTTTTTTAAGAAAGAATGGGTCATGGGGTCCCCTGTTCACAGTCCCAAAAAAAAAAACCCGCAGCACACAGTGCATAAAAAAAAAAAAACTGACCATTTTTGGAATAAATCAGCGACTTTGGGAGTGTATTTTCCCATGGTATTTATTGTTGTATTCCCAGTTTTCTTGGTCCATTTTATAGAAAAAAAGGGGAAAACATAATTTCAGAAAAATTGAGATTTATTTTGACTGGTTTTAAAAATGAAAGATGCCCTTAAATTGACTCAAAGTAAACAGAAAATTTTTTTATTTTTTAAAAACCCAAAAATTTAAAAGTAAACAAATCTGCCAAGCGGCAATACACCAACTGGGGATCCCAATATTTTTTTCACCCAAATCACCAATAATATTTATACCAATTTTTAACACTAATGCAGTAGTCTGCATAACAGTAAATCTTATATTTTTTGTGAGAAAAAAAAAATTCAAAGTGGAAAGCAAAAGAATATAAGAGGGGCCTTGAGACGTGACTAATGACAAAGAGGAAATGTCATTTTAGTGCCAGGAATGTCTTTCTTGTTTATTCTGGACCCTATTCGGAAATTGGCATCTTTTGAATTTGTGTGAAATTGGCAAAATTGCAAAATTCTGACCACTGTACGGGATATTGAATTTCATAAATGGGGGGTTTTTTTTTTGCACCCTTCGATAGAAAAAGTGAGTTCAAAGCGAAATATTATGTTTTTTGTCGACTAGTACAGTGAAATTGGCCGAAAATGGGGCTCAAAGTGGGCAAAATCGCCGATGCGTAAACATCGCTGAGACCGCTAACTTTGCGATAGCATAATTCCATAAGTTTTCTATCAAATTTCAAACTTTTGGTGTCTTTATGATCGGGAAAAGATTCTCTATCTTTTCATAAGAGAAAATAATTTTTTTTTTAAAATTTGGCCGACCCTGAGAACGAGTTTCGGAGAGGGCCTGTCGACCCTCAAAGGGTTAAGTGACTGTAGGAAACGTGCAACACTTATCCATCCTCAATAAGACCAAGACTAACACCAATGAAGTTGAAGAAAAGCCTCCAAGTTACATTGTTTTATCAGTCAGCAATGTTGCAACTAACTTTTCAAAATTTTTTTGACAAAACTAGCTGAAATATCTACCAGCTCATCAACTAAAATAAGGAACCTGGTACAAAATCCCAAGCACAACTATGGCACAAGTGCTGGAATATACACTATACTATGGAGGGGTAAGGGGTGACAAAATATACGTGGGGAAAACAACCAGATCTTTGGACATTAGGATCAGAGAGCACAATAATGCTTGCAGCAATGATGACTAAAAATGCGTGTGTTGAACATAGGGACAATGTTGGAAACCTCATGAAATTCAGAGGCTAGACTAGTGATTTTTTAGAT